AAGTGTGTTTGAAATTTATCCTTGTGCTACATATTTATTGTGGTTCTCTTTGATGCAAGGTATATTGGGATATGGAGGCAGAAAATGCAAAAATGGGGAAGAAATTTTTTCCCTCTAGACGGTGAGAAAAGGAGATAGATGAAGGCCTCACAGTGGTGTGTGATTGAAGGCTATAGGAGAGGTGGAGCTTGGAAAGTTTGAGAAAATGTAAAAGTTAGCTTGTAAATTAGGATGGCATTAGGTAGGGCAGGCCAGAGGGATATCAGTCAGATATCAGTCTTCTGAGGAAGACCTCAGTGTTTTCGCTACCATGTTCTAGAGTTGGTCTAGAGTCAAAAAACTTACTGAGCTGGGCATGATTATATACACTTGTAATCCCAGCACTTGGGAGGCAGAGGCAGGAGGATCACCTCCCACCATGCGTGGGAAGCCAGCTTGGACTGCATAGTGAGCTCACGGCCACTCCATTGACTATGTAGCAGGACCCTGTCTCAAAAAAAAAAAAAAAAAAATTGAGTACCTGGAAATGATCAGTGTTTCAGAGACTCAATTTTACTTGAACTTGAGTGGCTGAACTTAGAACAGAATGCCAATTCATTATTTTAGAGTGAAGAATTCCTTCCCTGTTAACAAAATTCTGTTTTTGCTACATGTTGCTCTTTAATGTCAAACTTGCTTAGTGAACGCGAAATAGTAAGATTAGGGTGGTTTTAAGGGAGAGAGAGTACAGTTACGAAAAGTAAAGGTTATTGATTTTTTTTTTACGATTGGCTGGTATTATTTTTAGGTATTTTGTACAGCTAGGCATATAATTCCCCCAGTGAGCCTGCAAAATGGGCACAGCTGTCCTTAATTTACAAGAGAGGCAACTAAAGGTCGACTGGAAGTAAGCTGCATTGAGATTTGAGCCAAGTCCTTCTGACTGGGAATCTATCCTTCTAGCTGCTGCTATGTGGGGCTCCCTTTTTTTAAAAATTAAATTTATTCATACATTTTAGGTATACATAATGAGCACATTCATCATGTAGAATTTGTACTTGTACATGATACATCTGGGATTTTTGTTTTTTTTTTTTAAGACAAGGTCTCGCTGTGCAGTTCGAGCTGGCCTTGAGCTCACTTGGTAGCTCAGGCTGGTCTTGAACTCACAGCGATTCTCTTGCCTCAGCCTCCTGAAGTATTGGGATCACAAGCGTTGATCCACCATGCTTGGCTACATCCTTTTTTCTTCCATTTGTAAGCTTCATGAGTAACCGTGTTCCACAGCAGAGAAGATGACGTGTCATTGGGTTCCTTAGTTTCTCTGCCTTTGGCAGTTCTAGAGTCAAAGTGTGCCTTGCTTTTTCCTTTAAGTTTTCAAGTTTCTTTGTTGACCACTTTTGGATTCACATCCTTTGTTTAAATATATTACTACATCATCCAAGCCTTCATTTTTCTTCTGGCTGTTCGTTTAGAAGATTTTCTATTTCTTTGAGGGGCTTTCCATACTTGAATAAATTAATGTTGTGTTGATATTATTACTTTAATTTTATGGGTCAAGTTAATTTTCTCTTATCTCCTAGCTCCTCAACTTCCTCCTCCACTGATTTCAATTCACATTCTAAGGCTGATTGCTGAATTTTCACTTATGTTCCAGTCCAGCTATCCAATTTAGCCATGGCTCTCTGGATTGTTAGCAGTTATTATTAATACCATTTTTCCCTTCATGCTTGCCTATGTCTCAAAACAAATCCAGTTACTCTTTATACTTATGTTCTTCATTTCCTACTTGGGTGTCTTTGTTTCTGTTTGGCTTTGCTTGGAATATCATTCTTCCTATGAAACCTCCTTTATCTGATCCATCACTAGGAGTAATAAAGCCGTCTCCCTCTGTGAGTTTCAGCAGAGAATTCTCCCTTACGTTGCCTTTATAGCACAGTATACTTTCTGCTGTAGTTTCAGCGGTTTGCGAACATGCCTCTTTCTTTCCTACTGGACCGTAACCTTTCTGAGCAGGTCACAGTGGCTGGGCTTTGTGTGCTCCATCATCTAGCTCAATCCTCTGCATTCGGTATCAGTTAAGTGAACGAATGGATGGATGAATGATAATTTCAAATTTAAATTTCTGCCCATTGCTATGTTTTCCATTTTCACTTTTCTCCTTCTTTTCCTACCTTCTCTCCCTTGTTTTCTGTTGGACTTGATGTGTTTTCCCTTGCATTGACTCAGTGTGCTTGTCTTCACCACTCCCTTGCCCAGATTTTGTCCATTCTTTCCCCATTACCAGTTCTCCTGTGGGTGTGCCACATGCTGCTGGTCAGATTTCCTCCATCCTTTGTGCCCGTTCTCTCCATGAATCATATCACTAGCGTGGGAATTGAGTGGTGATTACATTAAGATCTTAATAAAAAGACCATGTATGAAGAACAGACCTTAAGGTCTGTCAGTATATTGCTTTCAAGTGGTAAATGTTCTGATCCACATTTCAAGGGGAAAAAAATCCTTGGATATTAGATCAAGGCATATACTATTCACACAGAGAAGTGCAGGATATCAGAGGCATCTTATTTGACCAAAGAAAAAATACAGGAAGCCACAGGAGCTTCTGCTGTTAATTTTGAGTCGTGGGCTTTTTTCTCCAGCTGGAAGAAACATTAGAGATTGGTGTGGTCTAGCTTCCCTACTTGTCATTTGCAGAAACAGCCCCAAAGGAGCTCAATGACTTGTCCATGGAAGCCAGTGTGTTCGTTGCCCAGCATTTACTGCTCACACCAAACGTGGCCTGGGGAGCCACACACAGTTTGAGAGCTATGGAAGTTTACTCCCGGAGTGGAGGCCTTTGGGCCTGGTGACCCTGCTGAGGGATGCTGCAGGGCTCAATGGTGGACTGTCGGTGGGCAGAGGCTGGATTCAGAGCACTGCACGTGGGAGGATCCTGTGAGCTGTCTCAGACACTGTCTGCCGGGAATCTGCTCCATGAGCACCAACTGACAGAACTCTGTTCTTTCTGCATTTGAGAAGGTGCCAACATTGAATTATAAAAATATTTACAATTTTGCTTGCTGTTTTTGCCCAGCCTTCTCATTGCAGGTTTTGTTTCAGACTTCATTTCTTTTTCTTTTTAAATTTTTTAAATTCTTTTTAAAATTTTTTTAAACTTATTTTTTGGTACTGGAGATTTGAATCCCAGGCATTATGTACTCTACCACTGAGCTCCATCTGCAGCCCTTTTTCTTTTGTATATATTTTGGGTTTTTTGGGACAGGGTTCTTGCTATGTAGTTCAGGCTGACCTTAAACTCGACTTCTGTCCCCTTGCCTTAGCCTCACTAGTACTGGGATCACAGGCATATGCCACCACACCCGGCTTCCAGCCCTTTAAAAAAATTAAAATACTTTTTTCCATGTTTCCAGCATATAATGATTACATTCATTGTAGGGGGTTGGTACATGAACATAAAATATAAAATGTCTTAATTGTTTTTACTTCCCCTTCTTTTCCCCTCCTTTCCCTGTGGCCTTCCTTCATCTCTAGGTCTCCTTCCTATTTATAAAAGACTTCATTTCCATATCCAAGCACTATTTGTGTTTTTATTGCTTACATAGGTCAGATGACGGTGAAACATGGGAAATCCAGAAAAGTATCATAGAGACTCCTTCTGTTTTTGGTGGTTGTTAGGCATATCTTTGACCTGAGTAATGGATTTTATTGTCACTGACTGTCTAGGGAGCCAGCTGTTTGCAGATATGAAAGGTTACCTGTTTGTCGAAGGTCTGCATTGTTGGCCTAGGGAACAGCAGAGTAAAGAGATCAGAAAGCTAAAACAGGAAGTTGAGTGCAAACAGGATGTGCTGGTCTTTGCTGTAATTTGTGTGCCAGTGTTTAGAAATTTGTTGTGGTTAAAAGTCGAGACTTCTAATATTTGAATTTGCCTGAAGTGTCTGTTTTTGGTTTGAGCACAAGGCTGACCTAACTGATGTTTCACTGCCCTTGCCCGTATATATGTTTTTGTTCTAGAGACCAGATCTTTTTTTCTTCCTGGGGTGTGGCTATTTTTTCCTAGTGTAAACCACGTTGCATCCATATGGTTTATAAAAGGAAAGAATGAATTGACTGACCTGTTGTTACTTTGAATAGGTGTAGAATTTGATCTGTGTTTATGTATTTATTTTAAAATAACTAGGATATTTTAGCCTGTAATACCCGAACCTTTTAAAAAACAGGTTCCTTCTGTTGGATTCTAGAATGTCTAGCACATCTTTTGAGTTCACAAATTACTCAGGGTCCTTTGTGGAGGATTTCTTTTTAGTCTTAGGAAACTTCCTTGAATACTGGAGCCTGGGTGTGATGCTAGCTGCTCAGTAGTTTCACTGCTTGGCAAGGCTTTGGAGAGCGATTAAATAGCTAATTTGCTTGGGGTCACTCAACTGGTAAACAGTCTCAGCAGCCTGTATTTCCCATGTCCCCTTCACATTCCTCATTGCTTCCTAATGTGAAATCTGTTTTATTATCTCCATTATGGGACTGGTTTGCTATGGGGTAACCACCTGCAGGGAGCCACCCTGGATCACAATGACTTATTTCAGAACTCACCCATTCTGCTGGTCTAGAACCATAATGTGTGGCAGGTAAAGTGTGTTTTGCTTTGTTTTGGCTTGTTTTGTTGTTTGTATTCCCTACCCCAGCCACACTGTAAAGAAGACTGTGTCCTTCCACTTTGTTATTCCAAGGGCAAAGGGGTAAAGAAAAACATGGGTGAAAAAAAGGGCACCTCTTAGCAGGAGCAGAGTGACTTTGCAAGCGAAAACTGATCAACCTTCCTTCCTGAGTTAGCACAGATGTCTTTTCTTGAATCTATCAAGGGGTGGTGGATACGAGACATTTTGTACTTTGTTGTGGGGTGAAGACCAGACTAAGCACAGGTGTTCTTTGCAAGGGGAGAATATGGTGAGATTATAAAGGTTTTGCTTTTGTTTTGTGCCATTAGGCAAACTAAAAATCTGCATTCTTTTCTTGCTTAGGATAGATATTTGTCATACCATATTCTGGTAGGAGCAGAAGACATTTCAGAAAGTCAACATAGTTTACACATTGAGATCAAACATCAAACCAAGCTGAAGACTTGTAGGAGGGAGAGGGTGCTTCATCTGAATTCATCCTACATTTATCACAGACGCCTATCTGGCTTTAGCACCATGTGAGCAGTTTTGGAGATCAGAGGTATGTCTTCATTCTTCTCTGAATTTGTCATGTAAGAAGGATTGCGGAGCTGAAGGAGAGGTTCTAAATTGGCTAGACTTCCACCGGTGGAGGGGGATGACAAATTGAACTCAGGAGCAATGGGTTAGAATTGGGAAGAAATTGAATGGCCTGAGACTGTAAGGAAAATAAACTACTACCCCTGAAAGAGGTTCTTTAGGGGACTATAATATCTATCTATATATATATATTTTGCAGCTGGTAGGAAAGACCTGGGATCATTTAGTTTTTGAAGAATTGGTTTAAGAACTAAATTGAAACTGATTAAAACTTCTGATGTGACTAAAGGAAGAAAAAAAAAAAAAGAGGATATAGCACATCATGTTTGTTTCTTCAAGGGCCTTAAAGCCAATGATGGTAGCCCACGCCTAGGATTCCACCTTTCTAGGAGATTGAGGCAAATGACTTGCAGGTTCAAACCAGCCTGGGCAATTCAATGATCTAATGAGACTCTTACCTCAGAATAAAAAAGGACTGGGAGTATAGTCAGTGCAAAGGTCCTAGTTCAATCCCCAGCAATTCCTCTCTTTTCTCTTCCCAAGAGATGGGTGTGGTGTGGTGGTGCATGCCCTTAAATCCCAGCACTGGGGTAGGGGTTGGGACTGAGGCAGGAGGGATTATAAATTACATAGAGAGTTCAAGCCCAGCATGGACTACAGAATGAGATCCTGTCTGAAAAAAACCTACCACCAACAAAAGAGCCTTTAAAAATGCTTTCTGTAAATTATTTATAGCCAACTTTTATTGAATGCCCATTACACAGTAGGCCCTGAGGTAAACGCTTGATGTTCATTGTTTTAATTCGGTCAATGTTTGGGGGGAGGGGTATCAGGAATTGAACTCGGGACCTTATCCTTGCCAGGCACATGCTGTGCTGCTGAGCTGTGTCCAAATATAGTAGCTTCTATTGTTTTGAGGAAACTTAAGTTTTAAAAGAGGTTAAATGATGCTAAGAACTAGGATCCTGTTCATTCTATGTTGCAGTACATTTGGCCCTGATAACTTTTGTGTGGTGCACTTTGGAAAGGCAAAAGGTGTAATTTTGATCCTAGTCTGAATTATGTCCTGAAATGCTGCCTTTTTCTAGGGTGTAGGAGCACAAGAAACCCTTTTCCCTAGTCCTGGGCTTCTCCCTTCACCTCCAATTCTGATTACTTATTAGTCACTGTGATAGTATCTTGTTTGTAAAAGCAGCTTCTTTAGGCTGAAGGTTCAGAAAATTTAATCCTGTTTCCAGCACAAGAGTGCTTTGGGGATCAGAGTCTCTTATTGTTGATGAGCTTTGTCATCAGTTTTGATGAAGAAGGATCCTGTAGTAATTAAACTGCAGGTCCGTTTATTCCTTTTTCAGCATTGTTAGAAGACTCTACTCCCAGTGCTTTCCTTTTTGATTGACTTGCCTTTTGGGGCAGAATGCCTGGGCTGAAATGAATGTGTAGGTTTCTCTACCGCAGCGTTCAATCTGTCATCTCTCCTAAACACCACACTAAGAAGCAGCCATTTAATTGGTCAGATCCCAGGGGTGATATTTTGGCACAGCTCCATTGGTTAGAATTACTTTTCCCTGAACTTCCTAGCAGATGCTAAGATCCCTCTGTAGATATTTGTCATAGACTAGTTGAAACCAGGGAGTTTCCAAGAACATTTATAACTTGTGATTATTATGTATGTTTTCTGGTTGTTTACAACAGTTCCTACTTCAGGAAAAAAGCTCACTCACTGCCAGTGGGAAGTGTGGTCTCTCTCCTTCCCTTCTCATTCATAGTGTCATTTTAACATTGCGTGCTCCAGGACCCTCTAGTGTTCTCTTTTTCGTAGCCTGTTTTTGCTTCACCTTTCACTCTTCTTTGGCTGGGCCAGCCAAGAATGACTCAGCAAAGTCCACTAGACCAGGGTATATTTGGCAGAGGTCAATTTGTCTGATTTCTAGCAATTCTTTTATTTTTTTATTTCTGTGTTTTCTGTCTTCGTGTTTGTTTATTCTTTGCTGTTCCCTCAGAGCACCATGGCAAAACAGTTGAGAAGGCAGTCAAGCCATGTCTTTTAATGTGGGACAGGGATGGAAGTGATAGCCTGTATTGCTTTGAATTTTTTATTGTTTGATTGATTGATAGATACTGGAGACTGAAGGCCTTCACACTGGACTACATCCTCAGCCCTTTTTTATTTTTTGAGACTTAGGGTCTTACTAAGTTGCTAAATTGTCCAGACTGAGCTTTATTTTGAGACCCTCCTGTCTCAGTCTCCCAGAGCACTGAAATTACAAGCATGTGCTTACTACTACATGCAGTTGGATTTTTAATTTTTAAATTAATTATCATCACCACATCATTTGCAGTGCTGTGGATTGAACACATAGCCTTTGCACTGAGCTATATTCTCAGCCCTTTATTTTTAATTTTGAGGCAGGACCTCACTACGTTCTTAATTGCCCAGGCTAAGTTGCCAAGCTGCCCGAGGTATACTCAAACTTATGCTCCTCTTGCCTCAGTTTTTCAGATTGTTGAGTTGAATCATCACACCTGGCTGTTGTTTAGAAAGTCAGTCTGTTACTCTTCTTTTCTTGTTTCTCCACTAATCTAAACAGACAATTTAAGGGGCAGGGGTCTTGCAAGTTTGAGCCCAGCTTGGGCAACTTAGTCACTCAGACCCTGCGTCAAAAATAATATGGGCTGGGGAGGCCCTCGTGCCAGAGCCCTGAGTTTAACCCACAGTACCCTAAAAAAAAATCCTCCACCCTACCCCACAGACACACAAAGCATTATCTTCAGAAGCTTCAGGTAGACATGCTATTCTCGAGTCTTTCCTTAAAGGTACTGCTGTAGTTATATGTGCTCAAAACCCTTAGTTTGCTGACCATCTTGGAATCATAAATGTAAAGTTTTTGAGCATATACTTCCTTTTAAAAAACTTTTTAGAACCGGGCATGTAACCCCAGCACTTGGGAGGCCGAGGCAGGAAGATTGTTTTGAGTTTGAGACCAGCCTGGGGTACAAAGTGAGCGCTCAAGACCAGCCTGATCTGCATAATGAGACTCTGTCACAAAAAAAACAGTAAAAAAAAAAGTCTCAAACTCAACAGTGATCCTCCATGCCCAGCTTAGTTCGTTCTTTCTTTCTTTTTTTTTTTTTAAACTTTTACCGTCAGTTGATTCTTCAACAAATACTCAGTGGTTACACTTAACTGGTACTAAAGCTGAAAATAAGGCTGAAAATAAATTCACTTTTGTTTCCCTTTCACATTGTAACTATGGGAGAAAAACACAGTGAAAAAGAATATACAGATTGTTGTAGTTTAGATGTAGTGCTGTTAGAAAGCCTGCCTCCCAGGATGGAAGCACCAGGAGACCCAGGCTGCTTGCCTGTTATTGGTCCTCCTGGATTCTGCTGTTGACAAAGAACAGTGCTGAACCTACACTCTGAAGAGAGAGTTACGGGGAAGTGCGCAAGTTGCTCAGAGCACAGATAGGTTGGGGAAGGTCATACTGGAGAAGAAAACCATGTGGTAGGGAGGGAAGTGGCAACAGGGGTCGTCTGAATCCTTGAGATTGCTAAAGCCAAGAGAAGTGGGCATTTGCAGGAGGGAAAGAACACGAGGAGAGCTGAAGCTAAGTGCAAGGGAAGTAAGGCCCTGAGCGCTGTGAATTTGCTTTCATTGTTATTTACCTCCTGAGGACATTTATTAAGAAGAGGGCAATAAAGCATGACTTGCTGTTGAGGCAGTTTAAACTCCTGACGGGGCTGATGCGTGTAGCTTAGCGGTAGCTTGCCAAGCATGTGTGAGGCCCTGGTCGGATCCTTAGCACTCCAGAAAAGCAACAGAAATACAGACCTCCTCTACGAGGGCAAAGATGGGCAAGAGTAGAAGCAGATGTGTATCGGTGTTAAAGGGTTTGAGAGATCTGGAGGTCTGTGTCACTATTACCCTTAGGTGTTGAAAATAGCACAAACACATGACTTGTGGATGTATAAGCGAAAATTCTAGTTCCCTAGGAATGTTTTTTTGTTATATATATATATATATATATATATATATATATATTTTTTTTTTTTTTTTTTTTTTTTTTTTTACCAAGTACTCAAGTGTGGAAAGGTTGGGTTGCTGAGTACATAGAAAGAAGTCGGAACTGGTCTTAAACAATCCTTCCCACAACCGCAGTAGGTGATTTCCATTGTTTTCTCTTATGGTAAAGCTCTTGAATTAACAGTGCTAAGTCAGTGTAGGCAATAAGAATGATGCAAGCAGCCCCCTCTTTCTGTGGGACCCCAAATTAGGAATAGAACTTATGTTTACGTCTGTTGCCTGCTAGCTGTGTGAGCAGGGTTCAGTTACCTAGCCCTCATGATCCAGTCTCATTCATCAAGTGAGCATTTTAATTCTGAATTTTGTAGGATTAATGTAGTGAATGAGGCTGCAGATGCAGACATAATTCACTTGGCACATGGTAAGTGTTGTGGGCGTTTTTTCTTTGTTCTTTGAAAATAAAATTTTTAAGTTTGTCTGAGAAGACACCTGAGAAGTCTCCAGTTGGAATAGTTCTTCCAGTTTTCTCACCTGTTATTTGATATAACAGCACGGTAGAGTATCTCCTTTATATTTCGGTATAAGTTGGAGAGGGAAGGACAGGAGCCTCCTGACCCAGGTCTCTGACGTCATTGCCATTAGTGTTCATGGAGGCTCTGGAAGCTGTGATGGATCGAGGCAGATATTTAATCCTAACTCTGTCCCTGGTGAAAATACCTGCCATTTCTGGCATTCCAGCCTGTCCTCAGTCTGCTCTTTATAGGAGATTGAAAAGTCTCATATGCCGGGTGTGGTGGCTCACACCTGTAATCCTAGCACTTGGAAGGCTGAGGTGTGAGGATCGTTGCGAGTTCAAGACCAGCCTGGGCTACAAAGTGAGCTTAAGGCCAGCATGAACTGCATAGCAGACTCCGTCTCAAAAAAAGACAAAAAAAAAA